TGTGCTTGGGGAGAGAGAATGCAGCAATCGTGAGACTTTGCATTGAACTCAGTGCTGCCCTGTCATAGTGGAAAGCAGAACAAGTTTGTACTTAGCTGATGCCCACCCACGAAGTGAGCATTTGGACTGGCCCTAGCCAGAGGGGAATTGCCCATCACAGTGGACAGAACTTGACTTCTGGCAAACCTTGCCACTGTGGGCTTCAGTGTTCTGGGTCCCTAAATAAACTTAAAAGGCAGTCTGAGCCACAGGACTGCAATTTCTAGGTGAGTGCTAATGCTGAGCTGGGCTCAGAGCCAGTTGACTCGGAAGGTACATAACCTAGTAAGACAGCAGCCAGGGTGGTTGAGGGAGTGCTTATGCCACCCCTCCCCCAAATCCAGGCTGCACAGCTTATGGCTCCAAAAGAGACCCTATCCTCCCACTTGTGGAGAGGAGAGGGAAGAGTGGGGAAGACTTTATCTTGCATCTTGGATACCAGCTCAGCCACAGTGGGACAGGGTATTGGGCAGTGTTGTGAGGCCCCCATTCCAGGCCCTCGCTCTCAGACAACATTTCTCAACACACCCTGGGCCAGAAGGGAATCCACAGCCTTGAAAGGAAGGACCCACTCATAGCAGGACCCATTATCTGCTGAGTAAGAGCCCTTGGGCCCCGAATAATTAGCAGCAATATACTGTGGGCCTTCGGTGAGACTTTGAGACATGCCAGCTTCAGGTGAGACACATCACATTCCCAGCTGTGATGGCTACAGTGAGAGACTCCATCTACTTGAGAAAAGCAGAGAGAAAAGTAAAAGGGAACTTTGTCTTGCACCATAGGTACCAGCTTAGCCACGGTGAAATAGAGCACCAGGCAGGCTCTTGGGTCTCCTATTCCAGGCTCTTGTACAGCCATTTCTAGACCTATCCTGAGTCAGAGGAGAGCCCGCTGCCCTGAAGGGTGAGTACCAGGCCTGGCAACATTCACCACAAGCTGACTGAAGAGGCTTTGGGCTTTAAGCCAACACTGGTGGAAGCCTGGCAGTACTCCCTATGGGCCTATGGTGGTGGTGGCCATGGGCTGAGGTGCCTCTGCCCGTGGAAAGAGGAAGGAAGAGTGGGAAGGACTGAATCTCATGGATTGAAAGCCAGCTCAGTAGCAGTTCAATAGAACCCCAGATAGATTTCTAAGGTTTTTTGACTCCAGTCCCTGGCTTCTGGACAGCCTCTGTGGACCCACTCAGTGTTTGGAGGAACTTACTGCCCTAAAGGGAAGGACACAAGCCTATCTGGCTTTGCCACCTGCGGATTGTAAAGCACTAGGTCCTTGAGCAAATATAGGTGATAGCCAGGTGGTGGTTATGGTGGACCTTGGAAGAGGCCCAGTGCTGTGCTGGGTCAGACCTGAAGCCACAATCCTAGTGGTGGTAGCCACAGGGGTCCTTGTGTCACCTCACCCCCAGCTCCAGGCTGATTAGCACAGATTGAGAGATTATGTTTGTTTAAGAAAAAGAGAAGAGAACAAGAGTCTCTGCCTGATAATCCAGAGAATTCTTCTGGTTCTAATCAAAGCCCACCAAGGCAGTACTTTACTTCTACGAGTTTACAAGAATGACAGGGTTACTGGGCTTGGGATGCCCCATAATGCAGACACAGCTTAGATTATGACATCCAAGTCCTTTTGAATACTGTAAAAATTTCCAAAGAAGAACAGGTTCAAAGAAGCCCAGACTGAGAAGACTACAACGAAGACCTAACTCTTCAATGCTGAGACACTAATGTATATCTAAAGCATCAACACTATTCAGGAAAACATGACCTCACCAAACGAACTAAATAAGGCAACAAGGACCAATCCTGAAGAAACAGAGAGATGTGACCTTTCAGATAGATAATTCAAAATAGCTCTTTTGAGGAACTCAAAAGAAATCCAAAATAATATAGGGAAGGAATTCAAAATTCTATTAGATAAACTTAACAAAGACATTGAAATAATTAAAAATAATCAAGCAGAAATTCTGGACTTGAAAAATACAGTTCACATACTGAAGAATTTATCAGAGGCATTTAATATCAGAATTGATCAAGCAGAAGAAAGAATTAGTGAGCTTGAAGACAGACTATTTGAAAATACGCAGTCAGAGGAGACAAAAGAAAAAAGAATAAAAAGCAATGAAGCATGCCTACAAGATCTAGAAAATTTCTCAAAAGGGCAAATCTAAGAGATACTGGTCTTAAAGAGGAGGTAGAGAAAGAGATAGGGGTAGAAAGTTTATTCAGTGGAATAATAACAGAATTCTCCAAACTTATAGAAAGATATCAATATCAAACTACAAAAAGGTTATAGAACACCAAGCAGATTTAACCCAAAGAAAACTACTTCAAGGCATTTAATAATCAAACTCCCTCTTCCTTTTGGCTGGAACTGCCATCTTCCAGTAATTCACCAAAATGACAAAAACAAAGGGAAAGAAGAGAGGCACCCAATATATGTTCTCTAGGTCTTTTAGAAACATGGAGTTGTTCCTTTGGCCATGTATATGCAAATCTGAAAGGAAGATAATATTGTAGACATCAAGGAAATGGGTACTGTTAAAAAGGAATGCCCCATAAGTGTTATCATGGCAAAACTGGGAGAGTCTATGATGTTACCCAACATGCCGTTGGCATTATAAACAAATAATTTAGGGGAAGATTCTTGCCAAGAGAATCAATGTGTGTATTGAACACATTAAGCACTCTAAGAGACAAAATAGCTTCCTGAAACGTATGAAGGAAAATGATCAGATAAAGAAGGAACCAAAGAGAAAGGTACCTGGGTTCAGCTGAAGCACCAGCCTGCTCCAATTCAGAGAAGCACACTTTGTGAGAACCAATGGGAAGGAGCCTGAGCCGCTGGAACCTATTTTCTATGAATTCATGGCAGTGTTAAACAAATAAATAAATAACCTCCGCCTCCTGGGTTCAAGCAATGCTTTGCCTCAGCCTCCCGAGTAGCTGGGATTATAGGCACCCACCACCACGCCCAGCCTACTTTTTGTATTTTTAGTAGAGATGGGGTTTCACCATCTTGGCCTGGCTGGTCTTGAACTCCTGACCTCGTGATCCACCCGCCTCGGCCTCCCAAAGTGCTAGGATTACAGGCATGAGCCACTGCACCCGGCCAGTGAATAATTTCTTAACAATGCCTTGATCTTTTCATTATTGCTCAGGAGTTAAAGCTGCAGGCGGCAGCATCTGATTGGCTGAGCTCAGCCCTCGACCTCCCCATGCTAACTCCTCAAGGATGGAGAAATGGGTTCTCTCCCCTTGAAATTCTGTAGCGAGAGGGAGGCCTTTTCACACCAAGATTTATGCAGTGAAAGACTCACCCAACAGATAAATAAAGTTTGGATGCTCAGTAGCCACGGGAACTAACAAGCATCCACCATAGTGAAATATGAAATTGAAGCATCACAAACAAAACCAGGTATGAGCTAAAACCCAAAATGCCTAGAACTGCTTTTTAGGTTGAAATGGTCTAGGAAAATTAGGGACACCTCACTGATTTAGATAGGAGCAATTTCAAATTTGTTTACATTTCAACTGAGCAGGGCAGGACTGGAAGACACCTTGTAGCGAGTACTTCCATGAAAAAAGGTCACATTTTACACAAGAAGCCTAGGAAAAGCAGAAGCAACTCTGAGGACTCAGGAGTTGGCTGAGAGGAGCAGCCAGACAGCTGTGCACATGGGCCCAGTATAGTTTGGACTCTGGGTCCATCTGCTGGTGCAGTTTTTCTTTAACATTTCCCAACAGTGCGGCAATGAGCAAAAAGGGGCCAGATGCAAAGTCTAATGTGAGTTCCTTGCATGACAGTGAAAGAGGGAGTGATTAATCAAGAAGACAGTTCTTCATGGGTTGGGATGGGGACCTGGCAGCTCCGGGAGTACCTGTCATTTAGGGACACATGAAACACTTCAGCACTGAGGTACAGAATTTCTGTGATTCTGAGACTGGATGCACGGTTGACACCATGGCTCTTAGGGGTCTCCACCTCATCCTTAGGACCAAGACAGCAGACGGACATCTGCTAGAGCTGTGGCCCTGCCAAGGCCTTCTTGGCCCATGCGTCATTCTTCCTCCCTTTCCCACAACCGTCTTCTATGAACCATCTCAGCAGGGGAGAGGCAGCCTGGGCAGCTCTGCTCTCACTGCTGTGTCTCTCATGGCCTTTGACCACAGCTTCTCTCTTGCCCAACACTTGCACATACCATCTGATTGGCTGCATTTAATCCCTGCTTCCTAGGTTTCTCATGCTTTCCTTCTCCAGTTTAAAGGACCAGCACTTTTTTCTACCTGCCCCTTTTGGTTTCATGTTAGAGTTTCCTGTGGCTGTGCCCCACAACTCAGACATGTACCCAGGATGATGTCAAACAAGTTGAGGTTATTGCTTGGAGAGTAACTCACAGATTAACAGTGTCAATAAATCTCTTTGGGATTGCTACAGATGTCCTTGGCTGTCAGTAGCATAGAATGGCTCATCATGGCAGTGATCCTATGGCCAAGGCCCCTGGATCTCACCACCTTTATTCAAGAGACAAGCTGAACCCAACCAACTTTTTTGGAAATATAATTTAGCAGGTTTTTTTTTTATTATTTAGGTTTAATTAAACTCAGTTAAATGCACAGACCTTAAGCATAAAGCTCGGATAATTTTTATGGACATCTTTTCCCATATAACCATCACCCAAATCTAGATTTGAAAGTGTGAGTCAATTAGAGCTAATTTCTACATTCGGGGAAAACACCTAAGGCAGTGATTCTCAAACTTTGGTGGACTTCTGAATTGTCTAGAGGGCTTACTAAAACATAGGTTGCCTTCCCAGGTGATATTAATACTGCTGGTTCAGGGACCACATTTAGGGAATCCCAAGGCTCAGGATTGCTAGGAAGTGCTAGTTAAAATGTCTCCAATTCATAGTCATACAAAGAAGGAAGCCCATCAGCAAAATTATGTTATTTATTCATTTTTCTCTTTAAAATATGCAACTTGTCACAAATTTGTGTGTCATTCTTACACAGGGGCCATGCTAACCTTCTTCGTATTGTTCCAATGTTTTAGTATATGTGCTGCCCAAGAGAACACAATTTTAATAAAAATGAATTGGCCATATACTTAACTGAGGATCTTTAGATGGTCGCCTTCTATTGTTTGATTTAGAATCTTCTTAGTGGGTCTTGGTTGCCAGCAAAGGACTCAACAAAGTTATAAGCATAGATTGCATCAGAACAATTCCTTTTAGAGACTATTTTCCAATGAATTAATCAGTGTTGAGTACTTGAAGAGCTTGAAAGGATCAATATGCTTTTAAATACTGGAAGACTCATCATACCCTTTTACAGTCAGAGCAAGGGTATTGGTAAATTGCTCTGAGATCCTCAGAGGGAGATAACCAACCAGCACTTATTGTTAGGGCATTTAAAGCATTTTTTTAAAGTAATACATTTAATAAACGTAAAAATTAGCCACCTAAAATATGTAATTTTTTGGTTTTATATTCATTTTGTGAACTTAGAACTTCATAATTTTCCAAATTTTCCTACCATTATCATATATTGCTCTTATAATTAGAAAACAACAAATCCTAAAACAAAAAAATAATCCAGGGTGACTGACCCCTTTTACTCCCTCTATTTAGTTAAATAAGCTGTATTTAATTAAGATTTTCTATATTGCAAGATATTTACTTTTTTTTTTGAGATGGAGTGTCAAGAAATGGCATGATGTCGGCTCACTGAAGCCTCCTTCTCCCAGGTTCAAGCAATTCTCCTGCCTCAGCCTCCCAAGTAGCTGAGATTACAGGTGCCTGCCACCATGCCTGGCTGATTTTTGTATTTTTAGTAGAGACCAGGTTTCACCATGTTGGCCAGGCTGGTCTTGAACTCTTGACCTCAGGTGATCCTCCTACCTTGGCCTCTCAAAGTGCTGGGATTACGGTTTTAAGCCACTGTGCCTAGCCTGATATTTACTTTTTTTCCCTACAAACACACATATATATCAAAGTATCCATGGGCTGTTTTTCAGTGCTATTTAAATCTACAAGGTACAAGAAATAGATTTTTTTCAACAATAGCCTTTTAATATACTATCTTTTTATATGTATAATTTTTTTTGACAAAATAGCATTAGAGGTGGAGCAGCTTTTGAGAACAAAGTTCTTTTTTTTTTTTTTTTAAGGAAAAAGTAAGCCACTTTCACTATGGCGTAATTAAACAGAGGAATTCAGATGCCCCTGATTTGTTTTAATTCCTTTGTGTTTATTTAGTGTGAGCTCATCTAGCCAGTGGTTGTTCTGTGAGCAAATAGTCTGGCAATACTTTCTTTAGGAAGCAAATGCGCTTGCAGATGGATTTGCAGCATCTGCTCTGTCTCCTATGCCTCCAAAATGAAAAACTGTGACCCAACGGTTTCACAAGTCTTCATCTTACATCAGGGCAGGACCAGAGCTTCTTCCAGGTCCTTCCATGGCTATGGCCACAGGCATCAGTAATACCTAAAGTAGACTCAGCTTTGACCACGTGGGCACAATCCTGAAAGTGAGACCAGTTGGGAACAATCTGTGCCGGGAGGCAGTCATGCCTCTTTCCATTCCCTGAAGCTTTAGGGCAAAAGCCAAGAGGCAGCTGCTTCTACTTTTTAAAAACTGCAATTCATTGGTCTACTGTTTGGTTATCCTCCTTTAAACCTAAACAAAAGTCTCAAAAAAAAATAGTCAAATATTTTTAGAATATGAAATGAAACAGAGCAGTCCTGTATGATCCACCCATCTCCAATTTAGGATTCCTTGTTCATGTGTCCTTGAAACAACATTTACCTTGCTCCTCTTTGGGCCAGGGGCTTGTAGCCCTCCATTACCAGGCAGCTGCCGCTGGGAAAGAGCATGTCCTCCCACTGGGCTGGAGGCTGCACCAGGCCCTTCCTCCCAGGGGTTCAGGAGCAAGTCGGATGAAGTCTCATACCTCTTCTACAGGACGGTACTTCTGGTATCTGAAGACTGTTATTTCATCTGCTTTGCATCTTGTGTTATTAAGAACAAGCATTCTAAAGGCTCTCAACTCTTCTTCAAATTACATGGTTGTCTCTCTTCTCATCCTCTTCCAGGGCTTTCCAGCCCATTGAAGTGCTGAGTGCAAATTCTATTTTGATGGGTACTGAGCAGAGAACTCAAAAATTATAATCTTCCATAATTAAGACACACTACTTCCAGCAATGCAGTCTCATCTTTGAAAGTTTTATGAAGGCTTGCTATTTTACATCAGCTAATCTCATGTCAACTTCCTAACTCAGGGTCTTTTTAAAATTTTTTAACTGTTTTTTTTTTTTCTTTTTTCATACAAGGTATGGAGTGAGAAGACTTAGGGTCTTTAATTCATGAACGTCTGTTAAACTGTCTTGTGTCCAGGTATTTGAGTCTGAGTATGGGACTTTATATTTGCCTGGTTAAATGGTAAAAACAAACAACTGCTTCTCAGGGAAGTTAGGCATTTCATCTAGTAGCTGAGTAACTGAGGTTTTAGCATATTATTCCTTGATAGCATATCAACACCATTTCCATCTCAATTCTATCATTCAAAAATTATTAGCATGAAAGTAAAATAAAATCAGAAAAACACTTGCATATGTCAGGCATTATTTTAAGTGCTTTTTGTTCCAAAGTGGCAGGACAATGTATAAATATCATACACCTGTTAAAACAATTCTTTGCGATATCTGACCCTGCCGCCGTGGCTCCCTCGTGGAGAATACCTTTTAGTTTGCCTGTAATCAGTGGTAAATGGATAGCAGCTGCCTACTTGGTATATTTTTGAGTTACGAGAAAATACAGAACCCCTGTTTGTTAATAAGAATCACTTGTTAAGAGAGAATAAATACCTGGATCAGAATCTGCTTGGGGCCTTCAGCCTGGAATGGTGTCAGACCCTGAGGCTCTCATTTTGAAGGCTGCTGGACCCCCAGATATACCCACTTTATTGTTCTATCTAAATTGTCTGCCTTTCATTGCCTTCAGTGCCGCCTGGGTGGGGGGTCTTCCAGCTAAGCTGGTACTCAGTAAACCCTTCTAGTTTTTTGTCATCTATATATTCGATCAAAACGTCTTTTATTTTATTTATTTATTTACGTATTTATTTGAGACAGGGTTTTGCTCTGTAGCACAAGCTGGAGTGTAGTGGCGTGATCTTGACTCACTGAAGTCTCAACCTCGTGGGCTCAAGCAATCCTCCCATCTCAGCCTCCCGAGTAGCTGGGACCACAGATGCATGCCACCATGCCCAACAAATTTTTAAAGTTTTCGTAGAGATAGGGTTTCACTATGTTGCCCAGGCTGGTCTCAATCTCCTGGACTCAAGTGATCTGCCTACCTCAGTGTCCCAAAGTGCTGGGAAGGTGTGAGCCACTATGCCAGCCTAAAATGTCTTTTATTTTTTAGAGGATACTAGTTTATTTATTCAGCACTTGCTGATTCCCAGGCCTTGTGCTTGGCACTGTTTACATGACATATAGAACAGATGTGGGGAAGATTGGACACAGGGTGATTTCAGTTGTAACTAAGAGAAATATGAGGGCCGGGCGCGGTGGCTCAAGCCTGTAATCCCAGCACTTTGGGAGGCCGAGGCGGGTGGATCACGAGGTCAAGAGATCGAGACCATCCTGGTCAACATGGTGAAACCCCGTCTCTACTAAAAATACAAAAAATTAGCTGGGCATGGTGGTGCGTGCCTGTAATCCCAGCTACTCAGGAAGCTGAGGCAGGAGAATTGCCTGAACCCAGGAGGCGGAGGTTGCGGTGAGCCGAGATCGCACCATTGCACTCCAGCCTGGGTAACAAGAGCGAGACTCCGTCTCAAAAAAAAAAAAAAAAAAAAAAGAGAAATATGACTCAAAGTAGAGAAAGCCAAAAAGAGGAGTTATTGGGTCATACATCCAAATTATAAGAGGAACAGATTTTGGTTTAGAGGCAATGGAATCTAGAGACAAAGATGCCGTGGTAAGGGGGTGGGTGAGTGGGTGAAGTTTGATATGAGTACAAGATGAGAAAAAGTCTGATTTTCATAAATTGTAAAATCAGCTAAAGAGCCAGGCTCACCAGGAGCAAGAACCAGGGCAGTTTTAGGGATCCAAGGAGCATGAGATTCACTCAAGGCACCTTTGCTAGACTGAATCAACACTAATAATTCTTTTTTCTCTCCTGTGTTCTTCCATTCAAGATTAATGAGGTACCTCTGCACACTAGTAGAATGGCTAAAATTAAAATGACTGATCATACCAAGTGTTGATGAGCATGTAGAGGAACAAGAACTCTCATATACCATTGGTAGAAATATAAAATAGCACAACCTTTTTGCAAAACAGAATAGTTGTTTCTTGAAAAGTTAGACATGCATTTATTATCTGACCCAATCACTCTACTACTAGGTATTTACCCAAGAGAAATGGAAACATATGTGCATACTAGGACTTGTATATGAATGTTCATAGTACTTTGTTTATGATAACCCCAAACTGGAAACAATCCAAATACCCATCAGAAAGTGAATGGATAATCTATTATATCTATGCAATAAACTACAACTCAGCAATAAAAAGGCGTGAAGTACTGATGCACACAATGATGTGGATGAATGTCAAAATAATTATGCTGAATGAAAGAAGCCAGACCAAAAGATTGCATACTGTATGATTCCATGTATATAAAATTCTAAAAAATGCAAACTATAGTGACAGAAAGGAGATCAGTGGCTTTCTTGCAGGCAGAGAGTGCTAAAGGAAAAAATTATAAATGAACACAAAGAATACTTTCTGGGACCAGGCATGGTGGCTCACGCCTGTAATCACAACATTTTGGGAGGCCAAGGTGGGTATATCACTTGAGATCAGGAGTTCAAGACCAGCCTGGCCAACATGGTGAAACCCCCTCTCTACTAAAAATACAGAAATTAGCTGGGCATTCTGGCATGTGCTTGTAGTCTCAGCTACTCGGGAGGCTGAGCCATGAGAATCACTGGAACCCAGAAGACGGAGGTTGCAGTGAGCTGAGATTGCTTCACTGCACCCCAGCCTCGGCAATAGAGTGAGACACCATCTCA